CTGTTTGTTTTATGTACATTTTTCATTAAAACAAGCAGAAGGATGAAAAATGTACATAAAACAAACAGAGATGAAAAATGTACATAAAACAAACAGAAGAATGAAAAATGTACATAAAACAGAGGATGAAAAATCTGCATAAAACAAACAGAGCATGCTCTGTTTCTTTTATGCCGATTTTTCATCCTCTGTTTGTTTTATGTACATTTTTCATTCTTCTGTTTGTTTTATGTCAATTTTTATGCTCTGTTTGTTTTATGTACATTTTTCATGCTCTGTTTCGTTTATGCCGATTTTTCATCCTCTGTTTGTTTTATGTACATTTTTCATTCTTCTGTTTGTTTTATGTACATTTTTCATCCTCTGTTTGTTTTATGTACATTTTTCAAACTTCTGTTTGTTTTATGCAGATTTTTCATGCTCTGTTTGTTTTATGTACATTTTCATTCTTCTGTTTGTTTTATGTACATTTTTCATTCTTCTGTTTATTTTATGTACATTTTTCATTCTTCTGTTTATTTTATGTACATTTTTATGCTCTGTTTGTTTATGTCAATTTTTATGCTCCGTTTGTTTTATGCATATTTTTCATGCTCTGTTTTACATACATTTTTCATTCTTCTGTTGGTTTTATGTACATTTTTTCATTCTTCTGTTTGTTTTATGCAAATTTTTCATCCTCTGTTTGTTTTATGTACATTTTTCATCCTCTGTTTGTTTTATGCAGATTTTTCATCATCTGTTTGTTTTATGTACATTTTTCATCCTTCTGCTTAGTTGTTTTAGGGATCTTATTACTGACGTACATCAATTTGTGATATGCAAACAATAAATATTAAAATCTACAACTTAAACTGCATTTCAATAAAATTCATATTTCAAATACGTATACAGCACCACAAACATTACAATAACAAATATTTAATACAATACACTGAAAGAGTCCATGCTTATTTGGTTGAGATGCTACCAAAGGCCTAGTAAAGAAGGAATGACTACGATCACAGACAATGATGGTTGAAATGCAACAAAAGGCCTAGTAAAGAAGGAATGACTACGATTACAAACAATGATTGTTGAAATGCTACAAAAGGCCTAGTAAAGAAGGAATGACTACAATCACAGACAATGATGGTTGAAATGCAACAAAAGGCCTAGTAAAGAAGGAATGACTACGATTACAAACAATGCTTGTTGAAATGCTACAAAAGGCCTAGTAAAGAAGGAATGACTACAATTACAGATAATGGTGGTTGAAATGCTACAAAAGGCCTAGTAAAGAAGGAATGACTACAATCACAGACAATGATGGTTGAAATGCAACAAAAGGCCTAGTAAAGAAAGAATGACTATGATTACAAACAATGATAGTTGAAATGCAACAAAAGGCCTACTAAAGAAGGAATGACTATGATCACAGACAATGATGGTTGAAATGCTACAAAAGGCCTAGTAAAGAAGGAATGACTACAATCACAGACAATGGTGGTTGAAATGTTACCAAAAGTCTAGTAAAAAAGGAATGACTACAATCACAGACAATGATGGTTGAAATGCTACCAAAGGTCTAGTAAAGAAGGAATGACTACAATCACAGACAATGATGGTTGAAATGCTACAAAAGGCCTTGTAAAGAAGGAATGACTACAATTACAAACAATGATTGTTGAAATGCATTCAATTTTCTCTAAATATCTGGTAAATTATGAGATTTATAATGGTTCTTCTCTATTGTTATACTCCAAATTTTGCACAATACATCATCTAACGCTTGTTAAAGAGGATGATGTCACAATATTGTTTGAATTCTTCATGTTTTGTTCTCCATATTTTCTCCAGCAATTTCTACATGGCTAAAACACAGGATAAATTAATGCATGCATATAAGGTACAAACCTATCTACATGCAATTGGTTCCTTTTGGCAGTAACTAATAACAACAACATTTTAGCAGTGATAAGTCATCTCAGGTATGAAACACCGGCAAATTTAAATAAATCATCATTAACTATTTATTAAACCTTATCTACAACTTGAAATATTTAGTAAACCAACACTTACTTTCATTAAAAACGCTCGCAAGTACTTGTAAGTATTCTTCACACATTCATTCACTAATATCAGATCAAAATTCCCTGGTGTTTCACCTATATATATAAAATTAAACAGAAATATTACTTCAGTTTACAGTAAACATTAACAAGATATTCTAAAGTTAAGTCACCTATTTTACTATACATAAACACTGTTTAACAACTTAAATTAATAACTACTGAAGAACTTTACTGTGTACAAGGACAACATTGTTTTATAACTTTCATTATGAACTACTGAAGAACTTTACTGTGTACAAACATTGTTTTATAACTTACATTATGAACTACTGAAGAACTTTACTGTTTACAAACATTGTTTTATAACTTTCATTATGAACTACTGAAGAACTCTACTGTGTACAAACATTGTTTTATAACTTACATTATGAACTACTGAAGAACTCTACTGTGTACAAACATTGTTTTATAACTTACATTATGAACTACTGAAGAACTTTACTGTGTACAAACATTGTTTTATAACTTTCACTATGAACTACTGAAGAACTTTACTGTGTACAAAGATTGTTTTATAACTTACATTATGAACTACTGAAGAACTTTACTGTGTACAAACATTGTTTTATAACTTACATTATGAACTACTGAAGAACTTTACTGTGTACAAACATTGTTTTATAACTTACATTATGAACTACTGAAGAACTTTACTGTTTACAAACATTGTTTTATAACTTACATTATGAACTACTGAAGAACTTTACTGTTTACAAACATTGTTTTATAACTTTCATTATGAACTACTGAAGAACTTTACTGTGTACAAACATTGTTTTATAACTTTCATTATGAACTACTGAAGAACTCTACTGTGTACAAGGATAACATATTTTAATGTGAACACATAATAAAGACAACACTGTTTTAATTAAGAATAGATATAAACAGAACAGTTGTTTAAACAACACCGTTAGCAGGTTGTAACTTGTTGATAAACTATTTTATCTACATTAATAGCTTACTGTGCAATCAGTATGTGACAACCACATTAATGTCAGTCTTAGAATTTAAAAATCTGTGGGATCAAGTACTCATGAGTCAGCCATTCGGATTTCAGCATTCTCGACCCTCTGAACCAATCCCTCTTCTGGATCCAAGAACCAATTAGGAACACATACAAGCTGAAGAGCCCTCTAGCTCAGTTTTGTTTTTCTATTTGATACATAATACACTGAAGTAACTGACAAATATTCATGATATTGAGTCAAAAACAGCGTCAATCACTTGCCTATTTCAAAAGTACGTTGTCCATATTTATACAAATTATTTGTAAACACTTGCTTTATATATGTAAGGTTTGAATATACCACTGTGTATTCAAAGTTAAACCTAACAATTACCATATTTCATTTCCCCCTGAGCTTTAGACAGTCTTCTTTGAATACTTTCCTCTGTCTCCGTTCCTCTACCCCTCAATCTCTCCTCCTATTTAAGATATTACAAATGATTTTTTATTAACAATATTAATTTACCTGTAGTAACAGGATAATTACAAAAACAATATGTTCAGAGTTATGATAAAATATACATTTTGAAAAACATACAAAAACCTAAGATTTTTTAAAAATCATAATAAAAAAATACTCAAAAGATTTTATTAAATTCTTTAACTTTTAGTAGAAACAGACAAAATATAGTAGTTATAATAAATAATAGAATAAAATAGAGATTTTTCCATGAATATGTTTAGTATTTGTTTTGAATAGTCCGTGTGTAAAGTAATTTTCATGTTAAAATTAAAAAATACTTTTCCTCATCTCAAAAATCTCAAATTTCCTTTGTGTAATCCCTAAAACCTCCTAAATGCATTTCAAACGTTTTTTTTTCAGTAAAATTTTATAGTTTATCTGTTATTTACTATATCCTATCTGAAAATGGGATCGGCCAATTGGACCGACCTCATAACCACCAAAATAAACCTAAATTAACCTTCTTTTCTTTCTAGAATGACTTCAAATTATAACATGAAACTACATTTGTTTATCGTAAGTAACTCTAAGTTCGTAACATTATACATCTGTTTATAATTGAATTTTATTGTTTTATTGACTCGGGGAACGTGCAGCTCACGTTACGCTATCGAATTACATTACCCACTAGCTACTTGCATGCCTCATGAACCATTTTAATCATATTATTATTATTACTTTTTTTACCTAATCTAGTCATAAATAACTTAAAAAGATCCATATTTTTAGATTTTAGTTACTTTTATAATAATAAATAAAGAATAAATTTGAAAAACAAGAAATAAAGTACTTACTTAATCTTCTTTTTTCTTGCTCTCAGGTTTCGAAGACAGTTAACCCTAATTTTTTATACTATAGATAGTAATG